CTCGGTGATTTCCAAATAGTTCTATCATTATAGAGACCTAGTGTTTATAGTTAACAAAGTTAATTATATGGGATTTATTTTTAATAATCATCTCACCTGGTTATATCATATGAATAATGTCACAGGAAAAGCCACTGCCTTTGCCTAGCGTCTGATGCCGCTCATCGATTCTATTTCTGGTCTTCAACTCAACCGAGAGCGAAGAATATATCTTTGGATTATCAAATCCATTTACTGGAAACTGGAGCTTTAAGCCATAAAGGCACTCAGAATTATGATTGATGCACGCTTTATAATAAGAAACAACCTTTTACTCCAAGACCTCAAGATTGAGCTTATATATTCTCTGCTGCAACGACAAATTCTTCTGGAAAACTGTTTACAGAGTAACTTTTTGGGCACTCTAAAGAACTTCTAACTCCGCGCTCATATCTTAAAGAACTCTAACTTCCGCGCTCGTATCCCGAGGAGAAATCCTACGGATCATTTACGTCGCATCTTCTGCGTGATCGCAACTTCATTAAATAACTGTTGTGGTCTTGCAATTTTTTTTTTGCACATAATTAGGTCATTCAGTGAATGATTTATATTTTACCTTTCCGTTGTATGTATGTGTACTACCAATCATGCATATTGTCAGTGCTTAAACTGCGCCGGAGCCCACCGGAGGCCGGCTCCGGTACTTCTCAATTTTTAAGATAAATTACAGTTTTAGCCAGAGCGCACCGGAGCCCTAAATAAGATGAGCTCCGGTACTTCTTTTTATAAAACTGAACTACAATTTCAAGGGGGGGGGAAATTTAGAATTCCTAACATTTTAGTTTAACAATAAGCAGACTCTGCAATAATCTATTTCCATAGAAATACGAACTCATGAGAACATGAGACGTTCAAGTAAAGTCCCCTCACTCACATGTGAAAACCTTTCCCTTTAAGAAGGGCAATAAATTTGTTTAGGAACGCGTTAATTTCTCGCCGTAAATTTCTCGCCATGCCATCGTATTTAATGTATTGTTATCGACGGTTAGAGTTAGTTATCCTCACAGGAAGGAAAATTCGTATTCTTAAATGGGCGTTAAGTGACAGGGAGTACAATAAGAGTGAAATACTGAGATAAACTGCTCAAGCACATCCTACACATCGTCTTTCCCACAGTATCCACTAATGTAACGAAATACGGAGGTCGAAAAGCGTAACTATCTTTACCAATTTTAAATTCATCCTTAGAAGTCATACCAACTTTACATTCATCCTTAGAAGTCAGATTCAGGACTCATTGTATCCCTGACACACATCTGCTTGATGGCTATAATTATATCAGCAGAAAGCCGCGGTAAAAGAGAACGTTCTCTCTCACCAAGATTCCCCTCATTTTTTGTTTCCACCCACTCATACCCTCATGTCCTCATTCTGTTTCGCCCTGTTTTTAGCATTATCTGAATTTTCATCTGTACTTTAAATATATTTAACTTTTGTGATGATAAAAGAACTCCCCCCCCCTACGATCAGAGCTTAAATTGGGCGGGAGCCTACCGGAGTTCGACTCCGGTGCTTCTTAGTTTTTGTAATAAATCATAATTCTAGCCGGAGCGCACCGAAGCCCTGAATAAGAAGGTTGCGGCACTTCTTTTATGTAATTGGATAAGAATTTCAGTAGAAATTTTATCTCGAAAATTTTATTTTAAAAATAAAGTTATATTAAAAATTGCTTATTAAATTTTAATTTATCTCTTTACATTTTATTTAATTTTAATCACTTAATTACTTTAATCTTTATTTATTTAATTTCCATAAATAATTATAATGATCTAATAATTATCAATTAAATTATAATCAATTATACAATAATTATCAATTAAAATTAATTATACAATAATTATCAAGAAATTATAATTAATTAATTATACAATAATTATTGATTAAATACCAATTTATAAACATTAATTAAATAGCTATTAATTAATTTCATAATAATTAACAATTTAATTTAAAATTATTAATGAGTTTAATAGTTATTTTATTTATTTAGTCTTTGTTAACGGTTTTCCATAGGGCTCCGGCACTTCTAATTTTAGAAATTAAGCCCTGTATATTGTGCTTTGTGTATAGAATGTACTGCATTATATTCATTGAATTCTCTTCGTTGACATGTATTTTATCTACAGAGGCTGTTCGCACATTTTTTTAAAACCACTTTCATTGTATTTACAGAAATATTTACCCTAAAATTTTCATGTTTTAAATGTTCCATTTGATAACCCTTATTCTTCACTACCTTTCTTCACCGTAATTTTCAAGGCAATAAAGCCTTTTTTAGTATTAAAAGAGGTATTTTATCCACTTTCTCTTGAACAGCTTGAAGTCCTTAGAGTGTTGTAGGTCGAAGTTTGGACAGTTCGCTTTTTAAAAGTCCAAAAACGCAAAATATTCGTGGATGATACATCAGAAGTTTTGCTGAGGATGTTAGTAGGGATGAGATTATATTTGTCTGTTAATACAGTAAAATATGATCGCACGGAAAAGTTTATCAATACATAATAACTGCAAAAACATGTTTTTTTCAGCGGATTTTCTTTGCATCATGCTATTAAATGATTTTTCAGTTTAGTCTTTCATGAAATTATACACAAAGAGATGGTAAATAGCCAGTTATAGTAACTCATGCAACTAATTTGTGAGGATATGTTGCCACTGGTCACGTAACACCTGCTAACTTCCATACACTTGTAGCGTTTGTCGTAGCGAAATTGTAACGAACTATTATACATTGGATTATACAGCGACCCACCATAGTGTGTATATACAGCGAAGAATCAAGCATACAGTACTAAATTATTAGTCTATTGATTTCGAGAGCCACTCAACACTTGCAAACTCGAAAGTGTTGGAATTCCTGAACCTACCGCAAGGGTTGTTGCGTTAACCCTTATCACACTTGGCTACAGTCCCAGCTGCGTAATGGCAGACCGCACGTTGAGTTGAACAGTGTTAAGCTAATTTCGCTTACTGCGAATGCTTGATGGTGTACCTTTGGCGCGGAAGACATATTGGCGAATAAGCAACCCTACGCTAGCTTATTCGTGATCTCCATGGCTGTCGAGTGTGTTCGAGTGATGTTTACAACTGCAATGTTGTGGAGCTTTGCTTGTTAGTTATTTTAATTGCACTTGCTTATTTTTCTAATATATGTTTTATTTTAATTTGTCAATAACAGTGCATTTAATATTTGTTAACGTATGTTCGTAATAATTCGTTATTTAAATGTAATTTGTTTACATGTTATAATTCAGTAATTGTAAACTGGAGTTTCTCCCTTAGTTTGTTAGCGTATATTCGCGCTTTTATTTTCTCATTTCAAAGAATTTAATAACTAGCATTAAGGAATTGTAAAATTTCTTCAGTGTTGTGTGCAAGCACTTTATTATATTCCTCAGTGTTTCTTTATGTATGTACGAATGGTACTTATGGTAAATCCTGAAGTTTTTTTATTGCTTAAAAGTATAATGAATAAATTTTCAACTAATATATCCTAAATTTCAGTCTTTATTTGAACGAAAATTTGTACAGTTCCAAAGGAATGTGCAGAATTTCATAAGTATTATATCTTACATTTTGAATGCAAACACTGCTTCACATTACTTCGCAATAATTTCAGATTTCTAGTTGTTTGAGCAGTACAGCAAAAAATAGTATTTTAACACAGTAATTAATTTAGCACGAAGATTTAAACGCCAGATTTGTGTACAATCAGATGGCGGTACATCTACCATATACCGTATTTATCTTCTTTTCAAATCGCGCCAACATAGTAATTACGCCAAATTGTTTTCTAGGCATGCGCAGTATGCGACATTCGTTTAACACTGTTCAACTCAATGTGCGGTCTGCCATTACGCGTCCCGGCTAGACGGGACTTTTCTGGAGGCACTGATTCAACCGGGAGGATTCCTAGAAAAAAGAGCCGTGCCTGAAGCGAAGTCCCGCCTAGCTACGGAAGCGCTGTTGCGGCTACGAGGGATTTTTTTCAAACCTGACCGAAAATGTCTCGGGTCCCGGGTAGTGACAACCAATCAGACGAAAGTTCTGCTTCTGAGGGATCACATGATCCCAATTTGAGCGATAATCGATTAGTATTTGGCGTTCAAGTCTTCGTAGTAAGTGAGAATGGTAACCTAGGTACGTGTGTTTCCTGGAATTGTGCGGGTTCTAAGAATTGTCCCGTTCGACGTCAAGTCCCGCGTAGCCGAAACATAATGTGATTGGGACCTTAGTGATAGAGAATTCGACTCGTAGTAACCAAATCAAAAATGGAATCCCAAGGTCATTACCATCTTCAAGCTTATGCCAAACTCGCGTACTGCTGCACTTCTCCTTGGTGTTAATAGATGGCGACACGAGCAAGCAACTACTTCTGACTAGCACCCCGTTATCCGCACAGTCTGACAGCTAAATTTCCTCAGTTTTTTTGTTCAGTTTCCTATTGTACTATCTCCTGATTTTATTCAGCATTATATTAAAGTATAAAACAAAATGTCAAAAGATACCTAAAAAGCAAAAAGTAAACCATTAGAAATTGTCTAATATAAGAAAAACAAATCCCAGCCGTCATAAAGTATTTTTATTTGTTGTTATCAGGAAAAACGTCAAAATTGTCTAATAGGTCAGTTTTTGTTTGAAGAAATTATATCTCAGAAATTTTTTCTCTCTTCTTCTGCATCAATCATGATAATTTGCACTGAAAAATTTCCAGATTTTTTTCATTCGAAGTATTTTTCCCCTCAGTATTCACCCTGAATTATTTTACAACCATTCTTAAATTCTTATTATTTCAGCAAGTAATTAATTGTGAACTTACTTAAATCATTCAGAACAGCTACTAATTCTGATATGGACATGTAAACTTTTGGCATTTCGTAAAATTCATGTCCTTGGCCGTGTTATCTTATTGACGAAAGAGAAAGTTGCGTTTTTAGAGATAAGCGATTTAAGAAATTTACAGTTTGGCAACAACTCTGTTTGTTTCTCCGGTGTGTGATGCAACATATCGCTTGTAATAAACATAGTGCATTTAGTATAGTGAATATTGCTAATGTCATGATGATTGTACAAACTCTTGTAATTTTACTTTAAGTGATCTGCAAAGTGATCTGCAAGTTTCTTTCGATTATAACAAAACTCGCCCATTCCTATAAAACGTTTGGAGTTAGCCTTTTTTTTCCCATTTAATATATGTAATATTTTCTAATCGAAATGCATTCGGAAAATAAAGATTTATGCACTCAAACAGATGCTGTTAATTCGGATGTTAGTAATCCGAATAGTGACTCTCGGACTTCATTCTATCAAGATTCGCCTGATTATAGACCTCTGATAAAAAGTTCATCTCTTCATAAAATAAAACAAGACAAGAACTATTCCAAAGTTTTGGTTTCGTATACTGGTGGAACGATAGGCATGATACGATCTAAGGATGGTGGTATGTTAAATATTCATTTTTAAAATTCATATGGCTATATCTGTTTTATTTTGAAACTTGTATAATTTTTATCCTATAATGTAATCAATGGTTAATCCTTTTTGTGTAGTGTCTTTAGTTCTAGACAAAAACTGTGTTTTTCACATCCGATGCTGCCGAAATAGCGTTCAGTAGAATTAGCATTTAGATGGTATGGCTTTCATGTACCATTACTGAAATTCTTTAGATATAAGTTAGAAACTGAACTCTCTGACTGTGCTTGTATTTGCATATTGTTATTTGTGTTTGAGGTATATGAATCGCGTGATAAATTTAGTGAAATTGTAGCACTGGGATATCGCAATTTAAAACCTTAAAGACAACGTTTCTGATCAGGTGTGCCTTGAAATCTTAGTGCTTCATGAGAAATGCTAGCAGCTGCTCAAGAAACTAATTGCTAAGTCATGGCTAATTCCATGTAAATGTATGGCTGATCATATGAAATGCATATATATAGGCTCCCTGAGACATGAAAAATATGTTAAGGGTTTAAAATAAAAAAAGAAAGTTGAGCAACGGTGCCTTAGAGAATAGCAGTTCGTATCATGGAAATTCGGGGAAAGTGCAGAATAGCCGACTGCTTGGCGCGTTTTTAAGAATTGCACATACTCGGTATCCATGTACACATCGACCTATTTTCACTTAAAAAAAAAATCCCAGAATTGCACAAAAATGGAATTGTGCACTCCCTTGACTTTATCCACGTCCACATCGACCTATTTTCGCTTAAAAAGTCAAAGAAAATTGACAAAAATCCAATTCTTCTTACTAATTGTAAAAAGCGCCAAACAACTAAGTGGGCGATTCTGCACTTTAGCCAGCTTCCATTTTAGAAAAAAGCTTTTCATTTTTAAAAAGCTATCAAATGGCTCCACACATCTGTATGTTGCATTTCTGGAGTATGTAGGGTTGCCATATTTTAGGAAAGAAAACCTACAACATTTTATGAAAAATTAATCAAAGTGTTAAATATACCTATGACCTAGTTATAAAAACCTTGCATCTGATGCACATCCTTAAAAGGAAAGCAGATGTGACACTTGTGCTTCTTGAAAATGATAAAAGAATTTGTTTTTATATTGGTATATGTGTAGTATTTGCGTTTTTGTACTGATATAGTACTATTTTCTATAAGCTTGCAAACTCCATAATTAAATTATATACAAAAAAATCATGTAATTATTTTCTCTTTGTCCATACCTTTCCCCTTGGAAAATTTTCTTCAGATGCCTGTGTTTACTTCCTTTACGACAAACAAAAATTGGTATGAAGAAATGAAAGAAAATGATAATAGAAAGATTATATCCATTAGATTATTATTATTAGATTACATACATTCTGAAGCAGGTCTGTTGTGAAGATGTAGATAATGTGATGACATTTTAATTAAGTTATTTTCTAAAATCTTCAAGATTTTCTGATTTCAGAAAATATCTATGGTGTTACGGCATTATTATTCATAGAACATTTTTCCTTTGCATTCTTCTATAAATTAATGATTTCTTCTCTTTCTCTCATAATCACTTATTTAAAATTTGGGGACCTTTTTTCATCATCCAGGCTACAACACCAGATATAGTTATGAATCCTGACTGTCTAGACAAATTCTGACTGGCTGGAAACTCTAAGAACATGTATTGTTATTATATTCTTTAATGCTGATGTATTTCAGTGCTTTCTCTTTAAGGTACTTTTGAAATTAAATTGTATCATTTTGAAATTTAGGTGCTTTACATAATTCTAATGGTCAGACTTTTATTTCCATGCCTTCAGCATATTATTTAGTTTTCTTAATATCTAATTTTTTAATTGAATATTTAGTTAACAATATGCTTAATGATTTTTTTTATCATTTTATCATTAAGTTGGTATCATAATTTAATTAGTGCAACTTATGAATGAAGATGAATTTTAATTAGGAAGCTATATATGGCTATATTTTATTTGAACATAATCTGGAAAACTGTCAAAATATTTTCACAAAGATTCTAATCATATCAGAAATCAAAGATTGACCACTTAATTTTGCAATAAATAATTTTTTTTTACATAATAACTAAACTGAACAGTTTGAGAATAAATTCTAAAAATGGTTATTTCTTTTCCTATTCAAGCAGGAAAACAAATATTTCTCAACTTTTTTCTCTTGATGCAAATATGTTTTACAGTCTGATTAGATCATGAAGTAGAATTGAAAAATGAAAAATCGCACCGCATTACATTTTATAGATTATGTATGAAGACAGTTATAAAATGGATAATTATGCTGGAACTACTTTGATATGTGCCCTCAAGTCGCCAAATTTCTTGCCAAAAATGTTTGACGAGAAACTCCATGCTGCCATATTACTATCTAAATTTTTTGTGTACATTTCGAACTCTAAGCCTAAAATGTGTCCAAAAACGCAGTTTTTGCACATGCAAAATCCACGTTTTGAACATACAATTTAAGCTAAACATCCAAAACAAAAACAAAAAATTTAGATAGCAGAAACGTAAAGTTTCTAACCAAAAATATTTGACAAGAATCCATGTACACAGCGATATGTTTTAAATTAAAAAAAAACATCTACAAATTGCAAAATATAAGCAGCGAAGGAATCTGCGCACACCTCGCTTTAATAAATTAACTTAACAACAATAAATTTCAAAAAATATCATGTACACAGCATCCTGTTTAAACTTTAAAAAAAAAAAAAAAATCTACGAATTGCACAATTTAGGCAATTAACGAATCTATAAACTACTCACACCTCGCTTAAATAAATTAACGTAACAAAAATAAGTTTCAAAGAATACTATGTGCACAGCATTCTGTTTCAACTTTAAAAAACATCTACGAATTGCACAATCTAGACACTATGCACTAATCAACAAAATAAACTAAAATAAATTTCAAACAATTCAAAAAACAATAATAATGACAGAAATTCATACAGAAAAACAATGAACATAACATTCTACAAAATAAGAACAAGAATAAAATAAAATGCATTTACCATGAATTAATGCTTTTTCGAACAGCAGAAATACCAATTTCATACCGCCTTTAACATGCCACCATTTAATCACTATAGTATTTATATGACAGCCAGACACACTATTCAGAAAATTCATACTATGGTTCACAAATAAATAAAATCACAAATCCCTACTTCTATCATGCACAGCCACTAAAAATAATCTCCCAGGTCCTCTTTCCACTCCTCCAAACACCAACTGCCCCTCAACAGGATAGCCACAATGATATATTTTTTTTGACAAATTTCAATTCAATAACTTCCACCATTTTATCTTCCCTCTCTATCTTCTCAGATACAGACGCGAACCAATGAGCTTCAGCAAAAGATTTTTCAACGTCAACAGGATTGCCATACAACACGCAATCACACCCAAAACCAGCGCAGAACACATATCGCTACATTTGGTGAAATTAAGGTGTATATCAGAGTTGTACCATTATGCTTTTCACTTTTTTTTTTCTGGTGTTTAAATTTTACAGCCTGATATGTGAAGAGTTATATAAAATTCAGTCTGATGTAAGAGAAGTGTACATCTTTTTAAATTAGTTAAAATTCAGTCTTAAATTGGTTTAAAAAGTCTAGATAGTCCATTTTTAAATTGCCACATTATTGGTAGCTCTCTGAAGATGCTGAGTGAGTGATTTACTGTGTTAAATGAAATTATATTAATCTTCTGTGATATTATAAATAATGGAAAGTCAGGTTTATGCTGCTGTTGTTATTTCTGATCTTAAATTATTTGCGGGGGGGGAAGCATTAAAAAAGAAATTTGAGGAAAGTATTGTGGTTGAGATTACTGAAAAATTTATTTTGTACTTTCTGATTAATTGTAATCCCAGTTTCAATATTTGGTAGAATGTGCACACTATGATAGCCAGGCCATGTAGACATGTGCTAAATATGTGTTTGAGTGCATATGGAATTTATATATTCTATATTTAACTCTCATATTCACTGAACAATATCTACTGGCTGTAAAAATCTATAGGATAAACTATATTTTAGGGTACCCCTTGGATTATCGCCAAGTTGTTTCATTTATTTCCAAGTTGTTTTATTTATTGTAATCTGAGTATTTTATGATGTACGTTTTGGAAACCCTATTATGACATGATTGATTTTAATGTGTAATAGTGCTAATTTAAATTATTTAGGATAATATTTCTCAGGGCTTATTTCTGCATTGGATGTTGATTAGAAGTATGTTGCTTATTTTTTGCTTTATATGGTAAAATATGTGCCGGTGGTAATATTAACCTGAAGTTTCTGTATGATTTGAAATGAAAGCATTGATTGACTGATGTATAAATGAAGGTTTAAATGGCGTGGTTCATCTCAAAGTAAATTATACAGTAATATTTAAGGATTTGGAGCTCATACAAATACTTTCGAAGATATGTGGGCCGTAATAAAAAGGGAGTTTTGAAAGAAATGCCACCAACAGTCTGGCACTATGGAGGATATTCTTGATTCTTACTTTTATGAATTTATGTGGCAGCAGTAGTATACAGATTCTAGTTCAGTTAATTTTAAACAGTTTTTGGGTGTTGTTAAGGAATATTGTGTGCTACACACTGAAGACACAGAAGTTTCTAAATAAGGTAATTCGATATTTCCTTTTTGTACTGCACAGATTAGATAACATGTATTTCCATTTTTATATTCTTTCCTTGCTTCATTTGAATTTAAAATGCAGTTTATTGAGATTATAGTTTTAATTATGTTTTGGGTACCATTTTACTTAGGAGGGTGTTGCATGTAAACAGGAATGGTGCCAAAAAAATCGCTAATTTTTGCCAAGGGGTACCCTGAAATATATTTCGTTAGAGTAGAGAGAAGGGTTCCCCCAGGTTAGGAAGTATATTGCTTGTTTTGTGGTTTAGACCGGTGGTTCTCAATTTTTTTACTAACGCGTACCTTCTGAACAAAAATTGGAAG